AGACCATACCATGATGCTTCCCATATACTGTCAATGATTTATATCTTAGGCGAACGATGAAGACATTGAACTAATCTCCAAACACCTACTGAGAACTCTCAATTGCAAGGTTAAGGGAACCCCCCCCCCCCATTCTCGATTTTTTATTTTTAAGATTTTAAATGGGCTGGTAAATGAATACCAATGCTTGTTAAGGTTTGTAACTTGGCACATATATATTTGAAGATTTAAAAAGGAAGAACAAAAATTTACCAAAATTTTTTGTTGTAGTTTTGTTGTTGTTTTTTGGGTTCAAAGAAAAGTCCTTATTTTCGATGGCGGGCATGATAACTCCTCACTGGAACATCGGAATCCGAAAAATCCAACAGTGTTAGAAAGAGGACATGTCTGGCTCTCGTATGAACTAGGATTATTGACTTCGCACAACAATTAACAAAATGGCGGAACTTTGAAAAATTTTTTTATGGAAAATCGCCTATTTTTTACCACAAACTAAGTTAAAAAATAAGGAAGATCTTCACCGATTGGCTTTATCCTAGTTCGTACGAGAGCTACACACTCCCAGAGAAACGTGTCAAAATTTGAAACCGATTGGATTACTAGTTTTTGAGTTATCGTGCCCGCCATTCGTTTTGAGAAAAACGCGTTTAAAGTTTGAGAAGTCCTTTAGCCGTCACTTGATGCTGACACAATAAATCGGCTATATCTTCAAGAGTTCCTGAGATTTTTACTTGAAATTTTGTAGGAACATTCTAGAATTAGAGTAGATTCGAATTAAATCAAAAAAATGTTGACACCGAGAATGGGGGGTCCCCTTAAGTTAGATTACAACAATGTGGCAATATAATAAAATCTATCATGTACCAAAACGCAAAAGGGAATTTTCTTTCTTTATTTTTTATAAATTTGGCATAGCGTACTGAATTAGGTCTAGAATGATGTGTGTTAAGTTTCCTGTAAATAGGTCCAGATTTAGATATAGCTCCCATATATATTTTCGTCCGATTTAATTTAAATATTGTACCAAAGTCCCTATATATCTTTCTATTTGCACGAAATTTGGAATAGTGTAATGAATTAAGTCTAGAATGATGTGTGTTAAGTTTCCTGAAAATCGGTCCAGATATAGATATAGCTCCCATATATATTTTCGTCCGATTTAATGTATATGGTGTACCAAAGTCCCTATATATCTTCCGATTTGGACGAAATTTGGCATAGCGCAATAAATTAGCTCTAAAATGATGTGTGTTAAGTTTCCTGAAAATCGGTCCAGATTTAGATATAGCTCCCATATATGTTTTCGTCCGATTTTCTGTAAATGGGACAAAATTTTGCAGAGCGCACTGAATCAGGTCCATGCTTATGTGTGCTTGTTGGAATCGGTTCAGATTTAGATATAGCTCCCATATATAATTTCGTCCGATTTTTGGTGAATGATACACCAAAATATTTGTCCGATTGGGACAAAATTTTGCACAGAGTACTGATTTAGGTCCAGACTAATGTATGGGAAGTTTTGTTGAAATCGTTTCAGATTTAGATATAGATCCCATATATAGTTTCGTTCGATTGGCACAAAATTGTGCATAGAGTACTGAATTAGGTTCAGACTAATGTATGCGAAGTTTTGTTGAAATCAGTTCAGATTTAGATATAGCTCCCATATATAGTTTCGTCCGATTTTATTTGAATGATGCACCAATTTCACAATATTTGTCCGATTGGGGCAAATTTCTACACAGAGTATTGAATTGAATAATTGAATTGAATAAAATCGGTTCAAATTTGGACATAGCTCCCATATATAGCTTCGTTCGATTTTTTGTGAATAATACACCAAATTCTAAAAATTTTTCCGATTGGGACAACATTTTGCACAGAGTACTACATTAGATCCAGATGGTACACCTAAGAATCCACGTCTATCCGTTTGGCATGCAATTTTTCATTGATTTCAGAAGGATATGTGTATGATTTTTTTTTCAATTGGTTCAAATATCTATCTGGCCCTCCAAAGATTCTATGTGTGTGATATCTACAGGATATTGTAGATATTAACATGTCTTGCATGTACCCAAAGTGGTGAAGGGTATCGTATAGTCGGCCCCGTCCGACTTTTGAACTTTCCTTACTGGTTTGTAGTGAAATTTTGTACCCAATAGGAACCCATTGTTCCAAATTTCAGCTAAATAGATTGAAATCCGCGGCCAAGAAACCCAATATGGGGGCTTTGCCCTAACGTGGACCTCTTCGAATTGACCTGCCTGCAGACAAAAGACAACTCTATTGAACATTTTAGCCATCTATCTCAATTCGTTTTGAGGCTAGAGTGATTACAACAGACAGACGGACAAGTTTAAATTGTCATAGAATGTATATACTTTATAGGGTCGGATATAATTATTTCGATAAGTTACAAACGGAAAAACAAACTTAATATTCCCTCCATACTATGGGGGAGGATATAAAAAGGAGGGCGAATATTAACATTTGTTTGAGGTGGGCATTTGTTACCATATGGGACTACAAAATACCAATTTACAGCGAATTCGGTTGAAAAACGAGCTCAGGAACCACAAAATACCGAAAATATGGGGCTACCCTTATATAGGTATCTTTATAATTTTTAGTGGAGATATTTGGAACCCAATAAGATTGCAATATGCTAAATTACAGCAAATTCGGTTGAAAAACGCACTCAAAACCTGTGGGTTTTGGCGGTCCCCTTATATGGGCTACCAGAAAATGTTGATCTGTATTTGTAATTTTTAGTGTAGAAATTTGGTATTCCATAAAAATACAATGAACCAAATTTCAGCGAATTTGGTTAAAAACCACTCTCAAGAACCCCAAACCCCTATATGGGAGCTATGCCTAAACGTGAACCGATATAGCCCATATTCGAACTTGACCTTGAGTGCTTTCCTTTTTTAGGTGCTTTGAGTTTTGTGAAGAGTGAAAAATTAGCGAAGGGCAGTATTACCGCCGAGACCAAAAAATCGTTTCCTTGAAAAGGTTATGACCTATCGTTATCGTTGACAATACTTAAAAGTTAAAACGGCCGATTAATGAAAATATCATCCGTAACCTCATTTTTTTCACTGATTCGATTTTTGCATCAGTTGTTGGCGTGCTCGGACTACCAGGATAACCATAGTCATTGTCATTGTCATCTTCCCGGTCTTATTTAAACTGGTTATAACACAATTGTGTACTGGGCATAGTAGATTCGTCAAATGCCACAATCAACATTTCAAATGTCTTTGCATATTTAATTTCATTTTTTATACAAACCTAAAACTTAAACATGGATCAATTAACTGTAATTGTATACACTTCTTCCTAATAGTAAACCAGAAGGGAATGTAGTAAAGTCGGACGCGGCCGACTATATTATACCCTTCACCACTTTGGGTATATTCAACAGATGCATGCTTCAGACGTCGCTTTTTTGAGGAATCATTATCAAGAAATTAGATGAACTAAAATATGTGCTCTTTATCATCCCATTTTGCAACATATACTATTTTTTTAATTTGGACATATATAAAGTCCTATGTTTACAATGGGACAAAATTATGTAAATCAATTGATTATTTGTAGAACAATAAACATGAAGTCCATCGAAAATACCAGTATAAAAGCTATATCCAAATTTGTGTAAAAGCTATATCCACATCTGAACCGATTTCAACAAAACTGAACACGTTAGACTACACTACGTTGTGCAAAATTTTGTGCCAATCGGCCGAACTTTGGGTCTTTGGTGCACCATTTACTTAACATCGGACGAAACAATATATGGGAGCTATATGTAAATCTGAAACGATTTTTGCCAATTTCAATAGGGTTCGTTCTTGGGCCAAACAAATGGGCTGTGCCAAATTTCATCCAATTCGGCATAAATGCGACCTGTACTTTGTTTACAATTTAAATCCACTCAGAAAGTTATTCTATGCATATTCTCAAAAGGAACCATGGGTCTATATCGTTTCGTTTTGCCTGTTACAAACATATGCACAAAGACATAATACCCTTTACCACAGTGCGGTGAAGGGTATACAAATTCAAGAGCACAAACGCCACCTTTCAATTTGAAGTACCCATTTGCACTGGTCCCAAAAGTTCGCCATGGTAGGAGTTGTGATAAGACCGACTCTAAAAATTATTATACTTACATTGGGACTGTATGTACATAATTGAAAATACAGTACATAATAATGTGTTTCAGGTTTGTGGCTTTACTACAATAACTATCCATTATTTTCTTAGCATACTTTTAGGCGCTATGAAATTAACTCTATTAACCCAACTTTTGGGAAATTAATTGTTTCTACTTACATATACCACTAATATTGTTATGACTTTTAAAGCAGAGACACAGTTTTGAAATATTTGTTTCAGTTTAATTAAAAAAACTTAGTAATAACTCAATTTTTTCATAAATATGTCCATCACTGAAGTAAAATAAAAAAAGAATATAACAATTTGTAGAAACACAAAGAAATATAGTAAAATAAAACTAAAGAAAACAAAATTAAAGACTAATAACAACAACAAAAATTCGAAAGGTAACTGTATATTTTCCGTTCGAATATGAAGAATTCCATGAATTGGCGCATCACACGATTGACAAAGATAGCAAGCAGACGGAGTTCATGTCGAGTTGTCTTATTTGGCAAATTTATTTTTTTAATTGATTGTTCAGTTGAAGTCAGGCTATTAGTGCATGCAAAAAAATATTTTTGCGCGCACTATACGGTTTGGCAAACAGAAGTGTATTTGTTATTGTAATTTAATTGTGGTGTAATACAACATTTTGTAAAATAAAGAATTAATCACATTTTTGTTAAATTATTATTTATTGTCAAGTAACTTGTTTGTTAATTTATTAAATTTCAAGTAAAAAACATTATATATTTAAGCGAATGTAAGTGAATAAATAATTGTGATACATAACCTTAAAAAAATAACTTTTGGATAACAAAAAAATCGAAATGTGTCTCATCCACAGGGCTTGGATTGTACAACGTCCGTTATACAATGTTCGCAAGAAATTTGTCAATGTTAATGAATTCCCTGCCGCCCGAAATGTTGGTAGCAAATTTGTATGTCATCGATCGTTGTGTATATTTGTCATGTGTGTACTTTTGCAATTGATTTCGAATGCTGATGCCAGAGGACCATGTGATGTTGATCAATTTGCCTGCAAAGATGGTCGTTGCATTCTAAAAACGAAAATGTGTGATGGCCGCTTTGATTGTTCCGATAATTCAGATGAAATTGATTGTGGTAAGTTGGAAATCGTTTTTAGGATGACATGTTTTTTTAGTTAAGAGTAGGGCCCGATCGCTGGTACTTGATTACACCAATATAATTTTATTATATATATATATATATATATATATATGGAGGTCAATTCATGTGGCTAGCAATGTGGTTATGGCCACTTGAAGTCATAATTACAACAATGTATTTATTTTTTGAAGGTATGGCTACCAAGATATGTGCTTCGGAAATGTCACCGGTACCCTGACATAAACTTTGTCCAATGAAAATATTTATAACAATATCGAAAAGTAAACGGGACCTGTGTATAGGAGCACTTAAAAACGGGGTCCTATATTGAAAATCTTCCGAAAAGACCCTTCGAAATATTGAAAATGAAGTAAAATGTCTATATACTTCACACCACACTGCGGTACAGGGTATTATGTATATGTTTGTAACGGGTAAAAGGATGCAAGATAGACCCATGGTTCCTTTTGAGAATACGCATAGAGTCACTTTCTGAGTTGATTTATGTATGTCCGTCTATCTGTCATGTATTCTTGTGAACAAAGTACGGGTCGCATTTAGGATCCGATTTGGATGAAATTTGGTACCCTAAAAAATTCAAGTTTGCCCGAAGTTATATGTGGCATGGAAGAATACGCCTATATGGGGACAACCCCAACACACGGAGCAAATCAGTTAACTATTTAGAATTATATAAAAAGGGGGTTATATGGGGACCAGCCCTAGAAGGGGGCGAATATTAATAATTTTTGACATAGAGATTTGTTACCACTTACGACTACAAAACAGCGCATTCGGTTGAAAAACGCGCCAAAGAACCCCAAAATACCAAAAACTGGGGTGTACCCTTATACCCGAAAAAATTGACCTATATTTATAATTTTTAGTGGAAATATTTTCTACCTAATAACAACTCAAAGTACTAAATTACAGTCAATTCAGTGGAAAAATGCGATCAAACCCCCCAAACCCCCAACCCCGTTATATGGGGCCTACAAGAAAAGGTAGACCTATACTTATAACTTTAAGTGGAAAAATGTGGTATCCAATAAGAACCCAATGCACCAAATTACAGTGAATTCGGTTGAAAAATGCGTTCTAGAACCCCAAAATACCAAAAATTGGAGGGTACCCTTATATGCCAAAACGTGGGCCGATACAGCCCACCTTCGACTTGATCTGCCTGCATACAAAATACATGTCTATGCACAATTTTGGGGAACTACAAACAAGGGGGCAGTCTCATGGAAATGTTTAAATCGTTTAACGCTGATCACGGATTTATATGCTTTATAGGGTCGGAAACAGTTATTTTGATGAGTTACAAACTTTATATAATTACTACCAAAACTGGGGTTTCATTGGTCAGAAAGGGTCCTACATGCAAAATTTCGTGATGCTTGGTCCATAAATGTGATCTGTATCGTGTTTACAAATTATAATAGATAGATGGACGGACAAACAACTCTAGATCGATTCAGCTAGTCGGGATATGTCGATGTTGTTGTACTGATCTGGTCATATAAGAAATTTACTTTACAATAATAAAATTAGTTTGATTATTTAATATTTTAAAAGAGTTTTAGGCAATATAGATATAGCACATGTGAATACGGGGAATGAAAGAGGGGGAAGCAGCAACTATTATTAATAAACGTAGTTCTATGTGGTACAAAAAGTCACCAAATTTTAAACAGCTGTGTCGTAATATACACAATTGTTTTTGTACTTGAAATTGAAAAACAGTCAAAATGGCCGCCTTCGGCAATCTAGTGTTAATAATATTTGGTAAGAGCTTGTGCTCAAAATACCAAATTGCCGCCAATTCTGTTCAAAAACCTATCCAAAATAGCAAAGATTGAGGTATACCGTTATATGGGGGCTACCCTGAAACTTGGGTCAATATTAAAGATTTTTGGCACGGATATGTGTCTTCCAGGAGAACCCAAAATTCCAAATTACAAAAGTACAGAATAATTTGGGTACCGCTATATGGGTGCTACGCCAAAACGTGGACCGATATACCATATACCATTTGCAATACCAAACATCGTAGGAGTACTAGCAATGCCTGTGCAAAATTTCAGAGCTCTATCTTAAATATTGCCATCTCTATCGTGATTTCAACAGACGAACATACGGAAATCGACATTGAATGTTATTCTGATCAAGAATATATAACTTTGTTGGGGTCTCCACTGAATATTTCGAGGTGTTGCAAATGAAATGACAATATATACACTCCACCTTTTGGTGGAGGGTAAAAAAATTGACGGTACCTTTAATAGCCCCACATAAGATGTTACAATAAATTTAACCGCATTTTAGGGCTGGATCGAACATTTTATACCCTCCGCCAAAGGAATTTCCCAATGGAATTTCAAACCCCACTTGGGAATATGCCATAGTTATGCGAATGCAAAAAAATATATCTACAATATGTTTTAAATGAAGATTTTATAGATCATTTCTGTTCGGACCTTTTTTCTCAAATCTGAAAAATTCTAAAAAAAATACCAAAAATTGAGGGTACTGTATATCGCATTACAGACAATTTTGTGAGAAGGTCTCTAAATACTAAAACCCAACAATTATTGGATCAATTCGATCGCAAAATTTTAGCCATATTTACCGTTGCAGTACTTTATTATTGTTAGAAGAGGGGTTCTCAATTTACTCAGAAATAAATTCATTATCTAAACAGCCGTTCCACCACGATCTACCATCTACCACCTTACAAAATGCATTAATTAATCATGAATATAAATTTTCCAATTTATTTTCTCCACATTCTTCCAATTTTTACAGATTATAAAATGTGCCGTAAACCCAATTGGTTCCAATGCAAGCTGCCGAACGGCCCCTGCCTGTCGTCCGATCTTCTCTGCAATGATGTTGAAAATTGTCCCGGCGGTGAAGATGAACAACATTGTGCACATAATGAACGTAGCGGTGCATCCGATTTTGGTATCGGTGGTTGGTTAACCCTACATCGAAATTGTACACAATTCGAATACACTTGTAAATCGGATAAATTATGTATTCCGTATAATTTTATGTGTGATGGTAAGGCGGATTGTGTTGATGATTCGGATGAAGTGGATGGTTGTATTCGTGCTCAGGCAAGTTGTACGGGTTTCTTTTGTGCAAATAAACGCTGCCTGGAACGAAAGAAATGGATCTGTGATGGCATTGATGATTGTGGCGACGGCAGTGATGAGAAAAATTGTGGTAAGTTGTGGCATTGCGGATTCATGAAACATTCGATATTTTTCAAGATTTAACGTGTTTGTCTCAATTTGACACTTTGGATTCCTTCTGAATAAAAAAATTTTTCCCGAACATTTTATATAAAGTTTTTTTTTTATTGGACCTCATATATAGGTCCCTCTAATATCCTGCAGTCCCTTGTCAAGTCGTTCATATTTTTTAATCTCGTTTTCAGCCGAAAATTGCACTCCCGAAATGGATAAGTTTTTGTGCAGCAATAATATCACCTGCATACCCCTGGAAAAGGCCTGTAATGGTGACATAGATTGTCCCGATCGTACCGATGAATCATTCCGTTGCAATCAAACAGCCAACAATTGTGCGACCAAAAAATGTCCACCGGCAGCTACGTGTAAAATGATGCCACAAACGGGAGCCACATGCGTATGTCCCAAAGGTTTTAAACATTCTCTGGCGCAGGATATTTGTGTAGATGTGGATGAGTGTGTCGAACAATTTGGTGTTTGTAGTCAAATGTGTGTCAACACCTTGGGTAGTTATCGTTGCCAATGTGATGAAGGTTATGCTCTAAAGGAGGACAATCGAACCTGCGAAGCTATCGGTGAAGAGGCTTTACTATTGTATACGACACAAGTGACCGTGATGGGTGTTAATTTGCGTTCGCGACGTGTCTATACAGTGGCTAAGAATCTGACTAAAGTGATTGGTGTGTCATACAATGGTGAGCATATCTACTGGACCAATATACAAAATGAAGGTGAAAGTATTGTCAAGGCAAATTCGGATGGTAGTCAGCAGGAGGTGCTACTGACATCCGGTTTAGATGCTCCCGAAGATTTGGCAGTAGACTGGTTAACTGGTAAGTAGAGGAGGTCACTTTTTTATAAGGGGATGACTTAAATTATTTGGAATTCCAGGCAACATTTATTTCTCGGATAATGTTATGCATCACATTGCTGTCTGCTCAAATGATGGCCGCTACTGCACTGTCCTGGTCACCGATGATGTTCATCAACCGCGTGGCGTAGCCTTGTGGCCACAACGCTCCCAAATCTTTTGGTCCGATTGGGGTGTAATACCAATGATCGCTCGTGCCTCCATGGATGGCAGAAATTCCATACGCCTAGTAACCGATAAAATCCATTGGCCCAATGGTGTCGCCTTGGACATGTACAATGACCGAGTGTATTGGGTGGATGCCAAGCTGGCGACCATTGAAAGTGTACGCTCAGATGGTCAAGATCGTCGCACCGTGTTAGAAGACATCTTAAAACACCCCTATGGTTTGGCCATATTTGAAGATAAACTTTATTGGTCCGACTGGGGTACCAAGTCCATACACTCATGTAATAAATTCACCGGCAAAGAACATTCAATTATTACCAAAGATCGTACCATTTATGCCGTTCACATTTATCATTCGTCGAAGCAGAAGAAAATCGCCCATGCCTGTGAACAGGCTCGATGCTCTCATTTATGCCTGCTGGCGGAAAAGAATAGCTACAGTTGTGCTTGTCCCGACGGCATGCAATTGGGACCGGATCGTATGCGTTGCATTAAGACCCATAAGAAACAGAGGCTATTTTTAGGTGTTCGTAATAATCTCGTCGAAATGGAGCACACAACATTTGGTCGGCACACGGTATCGGCTACACATCATTTGGATTTTTTTATACATGAAATGGCCTATAATCATATAAATAATACGGTCTTCATTGCCGATAATTATCAGCACGTAATCGGTGAATTTAATATACAGGGTCAATATTTATCGAAATTGGTGCGAGCGAATTTGGGAAATATTACCGGTTTGGCATTTGGTAAGTTATTATACGCTTCACGACACTGTGGTACAGGGTATTATGTCCTTGTGCATATGTTTGTAACAGGCGAAAGCAATCGAGATAGACCCATGGTTCCTTTTGAGAATATGCATAGAATCACATTCTGAGTCGATCTGTTCATGTATTTTTGTGAACAACGTGCAGATCGCATTTATGATCCAATATGGATGAAATTTGGCATATGTCACTTATTTGGCCCAAGGAGGAACCCTATTAATATTGGACCAAATCGGTTCAGATTTAGATATAGCTCAAATATATAGTTTCGTCCAATTTTATGTCAATGGAACACCATACTGTCAATATTGGTCCGATTGAGACAAAATTTTGCACAGGGTACTGAATTAGGTCTAGATTGATATATGTCAAGTTTTGTTGTAATCGGTTCCGATTTACATATACCTCCCACATATATAGTTTCGTCCGATTTAATGTAAATGGTGCGCCAAAGTTTCTATATATCTTTCGATTTGCACGAAATTTTGCATAGTGTACTGAATTGAGTCTAGATTGACGTGTGTCAAGTTTCGAGAAAATCGGTTCCGATTTAGATATAGCTCCCATATATATTTTCTTCCGATTTAATGTAAATGGTGCACCAAAGTCCCTATATATCTATCTATCGATTTGCACGAAATATGGCACAGAGTACTGAAGTAAGTCTAGAGTGACGTATGTTAAGTTTCGTGAAAATCGGATCAGATATAGATATAGATCCTATATATAATTTCGTCCGATTTTATGTAAATGGTGCACCAAAGTCCCTAAATTCCATTCGATTTGCACGATTTTTGGCATAGAGTGCTGGATTAGGTCCAGAATGATGTGTTTCGTGAAAATCGGTTCAGATATAGGTATAGCTCCAATATATATTGTCGTCTGATTTTATGTAAATGATGCACCAAAGACCCTATATACCATTCGATTTGCACGATTTTTGGCATAGGGTGCTGAATTAGGTCCAGAATGATGTGTGCTAAGTTTCGTGAAAATCGGTTCAGATATAAGTATAACTCCAATATATATTTTCGTCTCATTTTATGTAAAAGGTGCACCAAAGTCCCTATATGTCTTTCGATTTGCACGAAATTTTGCATAGTGTACTGAATTGAGTCTAGAATGACGTGTGTCAAGTTTCGAGAAAATCGGGTCAGATTTCGATATAGCTCCCATATATATTTTCGTCCGATTTCAGGTAAATGGGGCATCAAAATCCCTATATATCTTTCGATTTGCACGAATTTTGGTATAGCGCACTGAATTAAGTGTAGAATGATGTGTGCTAAGTTTCGTGAAAATTGGTTCAGATTTAGATATAGCTCCCATATGTAAATAGTGTACCAAAGCCACTATATTTACTTCAATTTGAAGGAAATTTGCTATAGCGCACTGAACTGAGTCTAGAATTACGGTTCAGCTTTACATATACATTCGCCTGATTTTAGGTAAATGCTGCACTAAAGACACATAGCTAGGCCTTTTGACACAACCTACAGACATGCATATAAATTAATCTCTGACAAGTTTCCTTGAAATCGGTTCAGATTTAGATATAGCATAGCTTCCATATATAATTACGACCTATTCATTCAATTTCATGACAATGTTCGTTCGAAAAGGCACGTCTGTTAGGATACATATGTAGAATATACCCAAAGTGGTGAAGGCCCAGTCCGACTTTACTACTTTCCTTACTGGTTTCTAATATTACAGATCACCTGTCTTATTGCTTATACTGGAGTGATTCGGAGAGACATGTTGTTGAAGTTTTCTCTCTGCAAACCAAACAACGAGCCATTGTATCATTTTTCTCGGGCATAGAGGTACCCATTGGTCTGGCGGTAATACCAGATGATGGGTAAGTACATCTGAAACAAAAATTGGATCTACATACATGCCAAAATAATTCGATCTTCATTATATTCTATCTTCAATAGCATCATGTTTATTGCGTTAAGATCCCGGCGGCATGTTCATATCGATCAAAAATCTCTTAGCGGTCAAGGCGAACACACCCATGCCTTCGAAGATGAATTGGGTGATGATGATATACGATTTGCAACAGATTTTGAGACAAAAACCCTCTATTGGTCCGACAGTGATTTCGGACGCATTTCATTTTCGGATTATCGTAATTTAAGGGCCTACACTTTTCGTGGTCGGCTTAAACGTCCCTATTCGATAGCCATCGTTGATGAAGATCTTTTCTGGACAGAATTAAATTCAAATATTATCCATTGGACACATAAGAGTAATATGGGTCCATTGAAACGATTCGATATCGAAGTTAATCGAGAATTGTATAGTACCGTTTCCCTGCCCGTGAGAATACCCATTTTGGCAAGTTCATCGCCAATTGTTGTCGATCATCCATGTCAACATTGGAATGGTGGTTGTTCCCACATCTGTGTGACATTGGGGAAATTTGCCTCGGGTTGTCTTTGTCCTGCCGGTTTGGTATTTCGTGATGCCACCAATCGGACGTGCATTGAAGCTTTGGATTGTGAATTCCGTTGTAAATCGGGTGAATGTTTGACAATGTCGAGAAAATGTAATGGCCGCAAAGATTGTCCCGATGGTTCGGACGAAGAGAATTGTGAAAATGGCAAGGGGCATAAACCGCAAGTTATTTGTTCCATAGGAGAGTTTAGATGCCACAATGGAGAGCAGTGTGTGGAAGGTGATCAGCGTTGTGATGGCAAAAAACAATGTTCGGATGGTTCCGATGAGGAGCATTGTGAGAAATTTGGTAAGATTGTCAGGGTTTTGGATTTTTGTTTTAGATTTGGAAATTAATATTTGATTTTTTTTAGATAAATCCAAATTCTGTCACCGCCACCAACATGTCTGCGACAATGGCAACTGCGTTGACTTCAGTGTCATGTGTGACGGCTTCAACGATTGTGGCGATAATTCAGATGAGGCAGATTGCCGACTGGCCCGTGGCAAAGATGTTACCAGTCCAAGGCGCATTTGTGGCCCCGATATGTTCCAATGCAATTCCGGCACTTGTTTGGCGAAAAGTTGGGAATGCGATGGAAAAATTGATTGTAAAGATGGTTCCGACGAACATGACAAATGTGGTAAGTGGAGAAGAGGCTAAAAATCGCCTACGTATTTGAATGACAATGTCGCGACCACTTCTAAAAATGTTGCCTCTCGATTGGGCATTTAAAAGGCAATACAATTGGACAGATTTCAAGGGTATAAGAGACATGAATTTTGTCGTACCTTTTGCAACAGTTTCAGTCGGATTTTCCAATCGATGTAGCCATAAAATTTCGACCTGACCCAAATTCACATCGCTTTTCTTGTCTTTTAATATTTTCAGCTATTGAAATTATTCTTATTTTCTTGCAGGCATTCGAGAATGTCCCCCGAACATGCACAAATGCCTTTTGGGCCAGTGTATCGATCGTCGTCTGGTCTGTGATGGCAACAATGATTGTGGCGATACTTCGGACGAAATGAATTGTGATATGTCGGCGGGTAAAAAACGTAAAATGTCTTGCGGTGATGATCGCGTTCCCATGTTTGAGTGTCCTAGTGATCCCAATATTTGCCTTGATATGTCAGCCAAATGCAATGGTTCTGCCGAATGTCCACGCGGAGAAGACGAAGTTGATTGTGGTAATATTTGCAGTATTTACGAATTCCATTGTAAAACTTCGAAAGAATGCATTCGCAACGAATTCCGTTGTGATCATGAGAAAGATTGTGCCGATGGTTCCGACGAGGAGAATTGTGAGCATCGTGGGGCGTGGAATCACACCACCAATGCCAAACATACCCATGAAATGGCTTGTGGTCCGAAAATGTTCGATTGTAAAGATGGCCAATGTGTTGATGAGTCCAGGGTCTGTAATGGTTTTGAAGATTGTGATACGGGTGCCGATGAAGGCCCACTGTGCAAAACGGCCTGTGATCCTCAAGCTGGTCATCCGGTTTGTCAAAATAAATGCCGACCCACACCATCGGGTGCGGTTTGTTCCTGTTTCAGTGGCTATAAACTTGATGCTGATCATCGCACCTGTGTCGATATCAATGAATGTGAAGATTTGGATCCATGCGCCCAGCTGTGTGAAAACACTATGGGTTCGTATCGTTGTTCATGTTTTCCTGATTTTATGATGCGTCCTGATAAGACTTCATGTAAATCGATTGAAAGTGAGAGGTCATTACTATTCACCACCTTTGATGAGGTACGCAGCATGACGGAACAGCCAATTGTTTTAAAGGTAGCCTGGAAAGCGAATGATTCGAAAGTTACGGGATTTGATATAAATATACGTACACGCAATGGATATTTCACCACTGAGGGTGAAAATGTCCTATATATGGTGGATATTGATAGTGGTGCGATCAAGGCGGCCTTGGAAGTTCAGATGCCAAGTAAAGTTGCTGTCGATTGGATAACGGGTGAGTAATCACAAATTCTCAAAGTAGAATTGAAATAGATGTGTTGTAGATATATTTGAAGTTCTAAAATTTCTTCTATCTATAGAATAGGACTTTTATCTTCAGAAGAGGTCTTCTATCTGTAAAAGAGGTATTCTATATGTAGAAAATGTCTTCTATATGTAGAAGAGGTCTTCTATCTGTAGAAGAGGTCTTCTATCTGTAGAAGAGGTCTTCTATATGTAGAAGAGGTCTTCTATATGTAGAAGAGGTATTCTATATGTAGAAGAGGTCTTCTATATGTAGAAGAGGTCTTCTATCTATCTGTAGAAGAAATATTCCATCTATAGAAGAGATTTTACATCTATAGTCTTCGTTTTCTAAGCTATACACTCGAATTTATAACCCTTTCATCCTTTCATATGCAGGCAATGTTTATGTCATCAGTCGCACGGCACAATATCAAATAGAAGTTTGTTCGTTCGCGGCGAAAATGTGCGGTGCCGTAATTAAAGTTCAGCCCAGGGAAACAATAAAAACCCTCACCGTAGATGCCTACAATCGGAGAATGTTCTTTGTCATAATGCAGGGACAAGCCTTTGGCAGTCATCGATCACGCATTGCCAGCACAAGTTTAGATGGCGGTGGTAAACGTGATTATCTGCTCAATAAAGAGATGACCTTTGTTACCACACTGGCCTGTGATCCCTACAAGAAAATTCTCTACTTCACCGAATCATTAAGTAAAACTCTACAGGCTATTAACTATGGATCGGGTTCTAGCCGTACCCCCATAACCCTAATACAAAAGGGAAATGTGGTTATGCATCCATCCGGCTTGACATGGTATGAAAATCAGGTGTTCATTGTAAATATGGGTGCCCGTGAGGCGGTACGCTGTTATGTGTATGGATCGAAATCGTGCAAGGCATTCAACTTGAATATTCTCAATGCCGAGGATATTTTGGTGGATGGCATCTCCAGGCAACCGATGAATAGAAATCCTTGCAGCATGGCCAAATGTCGTGGCATGTGTGTCCAAACGGAATTCAGCTATGAATGTATGTGCGGTGATTCCATAGTCAGTGAGAGTAAATATTGCGAATCGAGTAATGAAATTTCTTCAAGTGCTCTGCTAAGAAATCGTTCCTCCGCAATGGATGAAGATGAGAGTTCCTCACATGTTGTACTCTTTGTTGTGCTTATGCTGCTGGCAGCTGCATTAACAGTTTGTGGTTTGGGGTATTTGTATTATCGTCGCAAACAGCAGGGTCAACGTGATTTTATTCGTAACCTGCAATTCCAGAATCCTTTGTCGTCACTGTTGCCACATCAGCGAAGTGCCAAGACCTCGACCTTGGACAGTGGGCTCATCAGCAGCGGAACGGGAAGTTCGACGGGAACGACAACAGCATCGTTCGATGAGGACAATGACCGGATGTACTTTGCGTCGCAAATTCAGAAATTTCTACGCGGATCATCGTCCAACAATAATACGGAAATTCTCTTGGAAACGGCCAAGGTAGGTGGGGTAACTTCAGCATGGGAGGTGGAATGGCTACCAGATATGGGGAACATTTTCAATAATTGGTTTTATTGTGAATTTTTTTTATTGCTTATCAATATTTAAGTAGGCTTTTTAGTGGTAGTGTTATAGGTCAAACGTGTTTTTGGAAATCATAAATACCATCTACCTTTTTCGACAGCCAACTGGCTTCCTTTATTATACACCATTTCCAAAATCATAATATCAAAAAAACAACAACAGGAACCTTTATTAACAAATTTCACTTTTACAGCCTCAGGAAATTTGCACCATGGAAAAGAGTAGACAACCCCTCGCCCTTGTACCAAATATCATGGTTGAAGAGCCCGACAATGATATCACCCGAACAGTGGGAGATTATGACAATGATGCGAGAGCCAGGCTGGTACCCTAGATGAATATAAATTTAATTTATTATTGTTAAATGCAATGTTTTATTTGTCACAAGTGAAAACAAATTATGTTATACGCATGTAAAATATTTGTATATTTTTTTTAATTATTTTGTATAATATGTATATTTTTTATTTGTATATCCTGCATGTTAAAGTTAAGGTATTTAAAAGTTGTTCTCCTATTTTGAGCCCCTATATTTTTTCTTCCAATAAATTATTCATTTATTTATTAAAAAAGTTAAGATCGGGTGTTTTCATTCATAATGAAGAGGGACCGTTAGCAATGAACAGGTAAAAATGCTGTTAAGTTCAAAATTTTAATAATCATGATGTTCATATTTAAAAATCGATAGAGACTTTTATACAGGATATACGCCATGATAAATTGCTGTTACTAGAAAACGAAATACCAAACAATTGACACTAAAATTGGAAAATTTGGATAAGACCCTGAATATAACGAATATGACGGAGGATCTTTGTATAAGCTCCCATACAAAGAAATATGGACTTCTTTTGACAGCCCATGAATAGATCCAACTCAGTGTAAAACATATGCCAGAAATGGGGAAATGCCTTATCATTGGTAATTTTTAATAAGAAATTAGTCATGGCAGGATCTTGAATATACCGAAAAAGAGGTGAGAAAAATACGGTTGAAATTCTGAAAATATATATTAGGGGGTAACGGTAGCCCCCTGGGCTATGGGGCTAAATTAAAACAGAGATCAATATAGATATTTTTTGGCAGTGAAATTTATTACATCCAATTTGGTTGGAAACGTGTTCAAAATGCTTAAAATACCGACTTGGGTCAATATTAAGAATGTTTAGTTCGGGTATGAGGTGATACCGTTAAAAAACCCAAAATACCAAATTACAAATCCCATATTGAGGGGCACCATATTATGGGGGCTATCCTTAAACGTGGGTCAATATTAAACGATTTAAGTACGGAAATGTGCTACACAATGAGAACCCAAAAAACAAAATTAAATCCAATTCGGTTGAAAAACGTGTCTAAAATATAGGCTACTGGGGTTACAGTTATAAGGGGGCTATTCTGAAACTTGAGTCACTACTAATAATTTTTGGTACGGAGATTTGCTATACGATCAGAACCAAAAATGCCAAATTGCAGCCAGTTTGATTGGGAAACGTGTCAAAAATATTGAGTATTGGGGGGTACCATTATATGGGGGATACCCTAAAACTTGTATCAATTTGTATAATTTTTGGTACGGAGATGAGTTATACACTGAGAACCCAAAATACCAAATAACACCAAATTCGTTTGAAAACGTTTCCAAAGTCCCAAAAATACCGCATTTCGGGGGTACCGTTATATGGGGAGTAACCTGAAACTTGGGTCAATGTTAATCATTTTTGGTACGGATATGTGTTATTCAATGATAACCCAAATCGCTGTCCAAAATACCGAATATTGGGGGTTCCGATATACGGGGGCTATACTGAAACATGAGTCAATAGTCATCTCCCAAAATACCGAATTACATCGTATTCGGTTGGAAAACACGTTCAGGAACCCCAAAATACCGAAAATTTGGAGGTACCCTTATATAGGGGGTAACCGACAAAATTGACCTACATTTCTAATTTTTAGTGAAGATAAAAAACTCAAAGTACTGAATTATAGAAACTTCAGTAAAACGTATTCAAAACCCTCAAAATACTGAAAATTTAAGGTACCGTTATATGGGGGCTAACAGAAAAACTGGACCTATATTAATAATTTTTAGTGGAGAAATTTTGGTACCCAATAAGAACTTTATGAAAAACGAGCTCAAGAACCTCAAAATACAGACGGACGGACATGTTTTGTCATATTATTTTACACTATCATAGAATTTTGCCCTAATCAAGTATATATATACACATATATATATATATATATATATATTCGGAAATTATTATTTCGATTAGTTACAAACGGAAAAACAAACTTAATATTCTCTCCATACTATGGTGGAGGGTATAAAAAATTTCGACACATTGATTACACAAGCCATATAATTTCAGTCAATTTAATTGAAAAATGCTGTATTTTGGAGGAAATTAAATCGCAGCCAATTCGATTAAAATAAACCAGTAAGAAAAGTAGTAAGGTCGGACGGGGCCGACTATATGATACCCTTCACCACTTTGGGTATATTTAACAGATGGAATCCTAACAGACGTCACATTTTTGAAGGACCATTAACATTAAATTAAACATTTCATTCCGCAACCTATACTAAATATTGGTCAGCTTTTAAAGCAAAATATCGAAATCTAACCGATTTCATCGAAATTTGTCACTTGTTAGGTTACACATTATTCAGTATTTTTTTTTTTTGTTTTTTTTTTTTTTTTGGTATTCGGTCACATTTTGAACTCTTCATTTACTTATAAATCCAAATTTCGTGCAAATTGAAGGATATATAGAGACTTTGGTGCACTATTTACCTAATATCGGACGAAAATATATATGGGAGTTATATCAAAATCTCAACCGATTTTCAGGAAGTTTAACACACTTCGTTCTAGGCTTAATTCAGAATGATATGCCAAATTACGTGCAAATCGAAGGATATATAGGGACTTTGGTTCACTATTTACCTAAAATGGGGTGAAAATATATATGGAAGCTATATCTAAATTTGAACCGATTTTCACGAAATTTAACACACATCGTTCTAGAATTAATTCTGTATGCTGTGCCAAATTTCATGCAAATTGAAAGATTTTCAGGGACTTTGGTGCACCATTTACCTTAAATCGGACGAAACTATATATGGGAGCTATATCTAAATCTGAACCGATTTTCTCGAAACTTGGCACACATCATTCTGGACCTAATTCAGTACTCTATGCCAAATTTCAATCAAATCGAAAGATATAGAGGGACTTTGGAGCCACATTTACCTTAAATCGGACGAAACTATATATGGGAGCTATATCTAAATCTGAACCGATTTTTCCCAATTTCAATAGGGTTCGTCCTTGGGCCAAATAAATGAGCTGTGCCAAATTTCAGCCAAATCGGATTATAAATGCGACCTGTACTTTGTTAACAAAAATACATGGACGGACAGGCGGACATGTATAAATCGACTTAAAAAGTGATTCTATGCATATTCTCAAAAGGAACCTTGTGTCTATCTCGATTCCTTTTGCCTGTTACAAACATATGCACAAAGACATAATACCCTGTACAACAGTGTGGTGAAGGGTATAAAAATCGATAGAGACTTTTATACAGGATATACGCCATGATAAATTGCTGTTACTAGAAAACGAAATACCAAACAATTGACACTAAAATTGGAAAATTTGAATATAACGAATATGACGGAGGATCTTTGTATAAGCTCCCATACAAAGAAATATGGACTTCTTTTGACAGCCCATGAATAGATCCAACTCAGTGTATAACATATGCCAGAAATGGAGAAATGCCTTATTTTTAATAAGAAATTAGTCAGGACAGGATCTTGAATATACCGAAAAAGAGGTGATTGAAATTCTGAAAATAACTATTAGGGGGTAGCGATAGCCCCTGGGCTATAGGGCTAAATTAAAACAGAGATCAATGTTGATATTTTTTGGCAGTGAAATTTATTACGGCCAATTTGGTTGGAAAACGTGTTCAAAATGCTTAAAATACAAACTTGGATCAATATTAATATTTTTAGTTAGGGTATGTGGTGATACCGTTAGATACCCAACGGGATACCCAAAATACCAAATTACAACTAATGAAAAACGTGTCAAAAATCCCCATATTGGGGGGCATCATATTTTGGGGGTTATCCTCAAACGAGGGTTAATATTAAACAATTTTAGTACGGAACTGTGCTACACAATGAGAAATCAAAAACAAAATTGAAGCCAATTCGGTTGAAAACGTATCCAAAATATAGGATACTGGGGTCACAGTTATATGGGAACCCACAATATCAAATAACAGCCAGTTCGATTGGAAAATTTGTCCAAAATACCGAATATTGGGAGGTACCGTTATATGGGAGCTACCCTGAAACTTGGGTCAATATTAATAATTTTTTGTACGGAGACTTGCTATACAATGAGAACCCAAAATTACAGCCAATTCTGTTGTAAAAAGTGTCCAAAATACCGTTAGGGATATAACGGCATATGGGGACTGCACCAAAACAAAAGCGATCTGATCAATATACTGAATATGAGGCTAGTACTTTTCTATATGGGGGCTATGGCCAATACACCTATATCGACAATTTTATTCTAAAATGTGTTTACCTTCCACGAAGTCAGATTGATCGGAAATTGTTTACAGCTGTATTTCTCATTCTCCAAAAATTTTTAATACCAAATTTCAGCCATTTTATGGATAAAGATAACAAAAACCTTACAAATATTGAAAATTATACTGGACTTTGTCAAATTTTGGAACCAAGACTCCGAAATGCTAAATTCCAACCACTTTGGTTTGTGAATGCGGCAATATTGTTCATCCTCTCAGAATGCGGAATTTTAAATTTCTGCCAGTTCGGTGCACTTCGGAGGGAACTTCAAAAAAAGTTTATGTCGAAATCTAAGCCTATATCGATCATTTTCTGAACAAATTTTGTTCTTCACGCTCCAAAAATCCGGAATACGAAATTCCAGTCTCTTCAGTTGAAAAATGCGACTAAGATCTTCAAACTACCGAAAATTGGCCGATTTTTTATATGGAAGTTACGTCTGAACATGGAACTATGTCGACTATTTTGTGTAAAAATGTTTTTCAGCCTTTGAAAACCTAGAATTCCAATTTTCATCCACTTCGATGGCCAAATTGGCATAAACCTTCAAAATAGCATATAGTCGATAATCCAAATCATGGACCTTTGCTCCATTCGTTTGGTAATATTGTCTGTATAAGTCCACTTCTCAAACTCATTCCATAAAGTATAGTTCTAGGTGGGATTGGAAAATTCATTTCAAGTAACTGTCAGTATAGCAATGGTGGAGAATATCCAAATTTGGAACTGGCCTATATGTTGGGGTTATAGAAAAATATGTACCCATATCGAACATTTTCTGCAGGAGTTCCCATATCAAACATTTTCTCCAGGGGTGCTTCCCCATAAAAAAAAACTGGAATGTCAATACTTCGATGAGAAAACTCTTCAAAATACCTCATCCCTATGGGGTCTATGCTAAAGAATCGAGCAATAGAAAATTTTCTGCTTGTCCCACCCAAAAACACTGACTGCCAGAAAACAGCAAAAACCTTAAAAATACCGAAACTAGAACGGGACCTATTTCAATGAAACATTGATATACTTACTAATGCTTTAGTAGCATATTTATTATTGCTTCTCACAATTTCAATGATTATTATAAACCTTGTAACAATTTGTTTTTAACTTGCAATAGCAATTCTGAATTATTTTTTTGGCTTAAGCTAAACTTGTATAACAAAACAAAAAATCTCTAAAACAAAACAAAAAAATACAAAATATTACTAACAAAAAGCATATTCTAGATACTAGAACTAAATATACATACAATGATTTTAAGGTTCATGTAGTGATTTACTAAAAAAAATTGCATATTGAGAATTATATTGGAAACTTAGAATAACAAAAAATCAGAAAAAGAAAACAAAAAAGTAAAATTTTTGAAATAAAAAATTTAGAACTAATTTATAAAATACACCTTACAAAGCTAAAGCAATTTTCCTACATTCCTAAACTGATTTAATCAAACGTTCCTGGCGTTCAAATATCTGCGTCTTACTTGCCATACTCTCAGCATTGGCAGTGTTGGAATTCGAATTGACAGCATTGCTGGCTGGCAATTGGTCGCCATTTCTTTGTTTCTCCAAAAATGACAGAGATTCACGGAATGCCAACAGGAATTCATCGGCATTCTTTTGACTGAAGCACATGGGAGGCTTTAGTTTGATCACATTGTCATTGGGTCCATCGGAGGAGACTAATATCTGATGGACCTGTTTCATGCGATTGACAATCCAATGGGCAGCTTTTGTGTCGGGTTCACGTGTATCACGATCTTTGACCAACTCGACGCCAACAAAGAGGCCCACACCACGAACATCACCGATTATCTCAAATTCATATTTAAGTTCACGACATTGCTGGAGCAAATAATCACCCACAATGCGGGCATTTTCCTGTAGACCCTCCTCTTCGATGACACGCATCACGGCATTGGCAATGGCACACGACACGGGATTACCACCATAGGTATTGAAATATGCCACACCGGTGTTATAGAATGCTTCGGCAATTTCTGGAGTTGTGACCACAGCACCAACTGGATGACCATTACCCATGGGCTTGGCAACGCATACAATATCGGGTATAACACCTTGCGTTTCAAAGGCCCAATAGTGGCTGCCGACACGACCAAAACCAACCTGCACCTCATCGGCGATGCAAACACCACCCGCTTCGCGAACAATATCATAGGCAGCCTTAAAATAGCCTTCAGGCGGTATAATCTGACCACCACAACTTTGCAGCGACTCGGCAATGAAACCCGCCACACCTTTACCTTGAGCCTTCAACTGTTCGCAAATATCACGTATGGGTTTCGTGTAAATTTCAGCCATATCAGCATTGGGATAATCTTTGTCCTTATATTTGCCACCATACACGTCGGGGCAGGGAGCAACGTGGACATAATCAGGTTTTGGATCACCACCGGGTTGATTAAATTTATAGGGGGAAATTTCCATTACCGATGTCAAGTGACCGTGATAGGCACTAAAGGGAGAAAAGGAGAAAGAAGATGTAATTTAGTAAAAAAAATCAAAGAGTTTATTTTAGGCAAATACTTACTGGTCCAATGTAATAATGTCCTGACGTTTGGTATAATTTCGGGTCAAACGTAATGCCAAATCATTGGCCTCCGACCCTGAATTGACAAAGAAACATACCGACAATTGTCCCGGCATTTTACTGGTCAATGTTTTGGCACACTGCACCAATTCGTCGTGCAGAAAACGATTATTGGTAGAAATTGTAGCCATTTGCAAGCAACCGGCCCTCACCACCTTGGGATGACAGTGGCCCACTGTAAGAAAAGAGGAAAAACGTAATAATTAATAATGGAAATTAAGATGAGGTAATTAAGAGAGGGATATTCTAGGTAAAAACTCAGGTTGGGAAATTGGGTTGTCACTTCGAGATTAAAACTTAAAAAACAAAAATGTGGCAGATCCTTCTACATATGGGATCAATGTGAAAACAACGAAAGTTCTCTGTAACGAATTTTTATACACCTCGAAATATTCATCAGGGATCCAAAATGTATATGTCCTCTTGACCCGAATCTGTCCATCTGTCCATCTGTTGAAATCACGATAGAGATGGCAATATTTAAGATAGAGGTCTGAAATTTTGCATATATATTTCTAGTACTTCTAGAATGTTTGGTAATGGGGATATATCGGTCCACGTTTACGTGTAGGCCCCATATAATTTCCATCGGTATTTTGGAGATTTTAGACATGTTTTCCAACCGAATTGGCCGTAATTTGGTATTTTGGGTTCTCATTGTATAACTCACCTCCGTATCAAAAATTAGTTATATAGACACAAGTTTCAAGGTTGGCCCCACACGTTAATTTAAAGATCTTGGACACGAATTGGCTGTAATTGTGTATTTTAGGTTATCATTGTATTGGCCCAAGTCTCAAGGTAGCCCCCATACAACCGTACCCCTCATTATTTGGGAATTTTGGGGGTTTTAAATAGGTTTTCCAACCAAATTGGCTGTTATGTGGTATTTTTGGTTCTCATTGAATAGAAAATATCCATACCAAAAATTATTAATGGTAAATACCGAAACTTTGAATAAATTCCGAATTATTGTAATAATCATGATCGCCCACATTGTTCGAACACGTGGCTCTAATTCCCCAAGCAAGAAAGTCTTTTTTTTTATTAATGTGTGTCATAGATTATAAAAAAATATATATTACTAAACCGCTTCAGATCATTGCAATTTGTTATCATAGTTCTAGTTTTGAACAACAACAACTAAACATATGAAGGAAATATGAAACTGTTTTAGTGGGGCAAATATTGCCGAGGCACTTTCAGATTAGGAGACAAATAGAATACTTTTTACAACAATCTTTTTTAGTATTTTATAGAATTAGATCAAAGCTCAGTCAATTGTCTAAGTACTGGTGGTGTCATGACCCTTAAGAATTGGGAACAACTGTAATCTGCCACCTTCAAATCTTTTTTTAATTTTAATTTTAATATACCCTATCCCCGCCCCACCCTCAAAATAGTTGTAGATAACTTTGTTCGATTAAATAAGCTCTATAATTAACACCTTGATATAGCCGTTTGCACCGAACGCATTTACAGAGTGCAGCGCAGTGTCGTGCAGCGTGCCCCGCAATGACTTTACAGAAATGCTGGCTGGTTGGTTGGCACTCTTCTCTTTCTTATCGCCGCAACTTGTAGATTTCCACACGAGACATGAGACGTTCACATGTTGCAATTGACAAAGAACAGTGCGATAAGGAACGAGTGGACCGGCCTTTTAAAATCTAAGCGACAGACGGACGACCCCATATGTTATTGTTATTAATTGTATTATTATTATTACGACTATAAACTACGAACGTAAACCGAACAAAGTTTGTAGTACAATAGCACGAGATCCAATGGACGAGCAATCAGCAATGTTGGTATTAGGGTGCTAAGGCCGGGGTTGGGTGGAATTTTTTGTTATTGTTGTTGACCTACATATTCGATGGCTTCGATGTTAGATATATGGTGTAGAAAACATAAATCTTCGGGAAACTGAGGTTAGGTTTGTTATGGAAAATTTTTAAATGAACTGAATGAAAGTAGGACGATTTACTCAAAATATCCGATTGCAGCCACGTTTTGGCATAGCCTCCAATTTTCGGTATATTTATGATTTTTAACATAGCCCTGACATAAATGTCCCGCCCTATTTTTATAGGACCGTTTTTGAACCAACATAAAAATGGTCCGCCAATTTTTTTCCTTATTTTCCATCGAAGTGGTTGTAGTTTGGCCTCCAGGCTCTAGGGATCTTGAATTGGTACAAAAATTTAATATAGGACCATATTTTTATAGAGGCTCCATAAAAGAGTCGCAACCCCTTTTATAAATTTTGAAGGCAAGGTTATAAAAAGTTATATCCTGCCATTAATTGAAGTAAACCGGAGGAAGGTAGGAAGATCTTCTATCAAATGGAAACTCAAAATATTAAATTGCAGACACGTTTTTGCATAGCCCTTAATTTTCTGTATATTGATGATTTTTAACATAACCTTGACATAAATGCGCTGCTCTATTTTTATAGGGACATCAAATAAATGTTCCGCCCAATTTTTGTATTTGTCACAATTTCCGTCGATGTGGTTGTATTTTGGCCTTTAGGCTCTTGGACGAAGAAAAACATATTCGTAGACATTTTTTTATATAGGACCACTTCATATATGAGTCACAACCTCTTTTATAATTTTTTTGGCAAGGCTATGTAAAGTTTTATCCTCCCAACCTAACACCGGATTAGTTTGTTAATGAGTATATTTTGAAATATTTTATTTTATTAATTAAACACAATGCTAACAAACCGAATTTAAACTATTCCTCCGAACCCAAACACAAAGTTCCCGCCTGGGCTAAATTCAATGCTTCCGTAAGTAAACGACCAAAATCAGCATGCACCATAGTACAGTTGCGAATAGCTCGTTCCTGAATAAATTCACTGGCCGAGCAGAGATGAGCGGCAATATTATTGACCAAACGTTTGCGAGCGCACTCATCCAAGACATAAACCCAAAAATCTGTGATTTGACTATAATTATCCTCTGTATCACCACTTGAAAATCGGTAGACATCTCCAGCCACAGGGCAGCATGTTTGCAAAGCCTTTACCCGATCACATGGTTGGGCGCCACCAAATGAATTCGGATAATAATTTGGAGCTTCACTCAAATTATTAGACACCGTCATGCCAGCATCACGTTCATAATTCTTAACGCTCACCCGATATGGACAATTGACCGGTATTTGATTACAATTCGCTGCCAAACGATATGCCTGAGCATCACCATAGGCAAAGAGGCGACCCTGTAGTATCTTATCCGGTGATGGCTCCACACCGGGTATCATATTTGCCGGACTAAATGCCAATTGTTCAATTTCGGCAAAATAATTGAGGGGATTTCGATCTAAAATTATGCGGCCCACCTCCACCAAAGGGTAATCATTGAAATTCCATATTTTCGTACAATCAAAGGGATTATATTTGAATTTCTTGGCCTGATCAAAGGTCATCAGTTGCAGATACAAAGTCCAGCTGGGATAGTTGCCATTCTTAATGGAATTGAAAAGATCACGCGAAGCATAATCAGGATCAGTGGCCATTAATTCCACAGCTCTGGCTGATTCCAAATTTTGTACGCCCTGATCGGTGCGAAAATGAAATTTGCAATAAATCGGTTCTCCCTTGGCATTGATCAATTTATAGGCATGTACCCCATAGCCATGCATATGCCGATAACCATCCGGACAACCACGATCACTGAATAGCAAACAAACCTGATGCAATGTCTCCGGACGTAATGTTACAAAATCCCAAAACATATCGGCATCACGTAAATTCGTCTGAGGATTCCGTTTCTGGGAATGTATCAGACTTGGAAAGAGCATAGGATCGCGTAGAAAAAATACTGGCAAATTTTGACCCACAATATCCCATACACCTTCTTCGGTATAAAATTTAATGGCAAAGCCTCGAACATCCCGCAACGTATCAGCCGAACCACGTTCACAACTATAACCTCCGGAGAAACGGCATGCTATGGGAGTACGTTTCTTGATTTTCTCAAACATTGTTGCTGCACAATAACGGCTTATGTCATTGGTAACTTCGAAATAACCAAATGCTCCAGCGCCCTTGGCAAAGACAACACGTTCTGGAATGCGTTCTCGATTGAAATGCTGTACGGTTCGTAAATATTGATGATCTTGCAGAAGCAAGGGTCCATTGGCACCAACCGATAACATTGCATCGGGAATACCGATGGGAATACCCGATGTTGTGGTAATTACACCGCATGGAGATTTTGTATTATTTTTAAAATCAATCAATTGATTAGCAGCACTATCACGTGACATTTTCAGAGAAAAATAATAAAAATTTCAATTTTTATTTTCTTTTTCTCCTTGTTGGAAAAAATATAAAATGTCAAATGGTAGGGTTTTCAATAGGAAAAACTTATTTTTATACCCTTCACCACACTGTGGTACATGGTATTATGTCATTGTGCATATGTTTGTAACAAGCAAAAGGATACGAGATACACACATGGTTCCTTTTGAAAATATGCATAGAATCACTTTCTAAGTCGATTTATGCATGTGCGTCCATCGGTCTGTCTGTCCATGTTGAATAGTAAACAAAGTACAGGTCGCATTTATTATTCGAATTGGATGAAATTTGGCACAGTGGACGAACCCTATTGAAATTGGTGAAATCGGTTCAGATTTAGATATAGCTGCCATATATATTTTCGTCCGATTTAAGGTAAATGGTGCACCAAAGTCCCAAATACCTTTCGATTTACACGAAATTTGGCACAGCGTACTGAATTGAGCCTAGAATAATGTGTGCTAAGTTTCGTGAAGATCCATTCAGATTTAGATATAGCTTCCATATATATTTTCGTCCGATTTAAATTAAATGGTGCATCAAAGTCCGAATATATTTTTCGATTTGCACGAAATTTGGCATAACGTACTGAATTGAGCCCAGAATGATGTGTGCTAAGTTTAGTAAAAATCGGTTCAGATTTAGATACAGCTCCCATATATATTTTCGTCTGATTTAAGGTAAATGGCACATCAAAGTCCGAATATATTTTTCGATCTACATTGAGTGTAGAATGATGTGTGCTAAGTTTCGTGAAGATCCGTTCAGATTTAGATATAGCTCCCATATATATTTTCGTCCGATTTTACATAAATGGTGTACCAAAGACCCTATATACTCTTTGATTTGCATCGAAATTTGGCATAGCGTATTGCATTGAGTCTATAATGATGTGTGCTAAGGTTCGTGAAAATCGGTTCAGATTTATATTCATCCGATTTAAGGTAAATGTTGCACCAAAGTCCCTAAATATCTTTCGATTTACACGAAATTTGGCACAGCGCTCTGAAGTAAGCCTAGAATGATGTGTGCTAAGTTTCGTGAAAATCGGTTCAGATTTAGATATAGCTCCCATATATATTTTCGTCCGATTTAAGGTAAATGGTGCACCAAAGTTCCTAAATATCTTTCCTAATGTTTGTCCGATTAACACGAAATTTTTGCACAACGTAACAAATTGAGACATGAATGACGTTATTGGGGTTTGTTGAAATTAGTGCAGATACAGCCATAGGTTCCATATGTATTTCGACGGGTGTCTGATTGAGATTAAATTTTTAACGGTACGGCGTACCGAATAGCGTGTATCAATTTCATAAATTTGTCCCATGATACGCAGACGACTCTAAATCTGCCCGAATGAAATTAAATTTATCATAGGTTGCAGAAAGACATTATTATGTTCCTTCGTGGGAACATTGACATACCATTGTAAGGACACATATGTACAATATACCCAAAGTGGTGAAGGATATCATATAGTCGGTATCATATATATAGGGTATCATATAGTCGACCCAGTCCGACTATACTACTTTCCTTACTGGTTTCATCATCATAACATGAGTTTTCTCCTAGGATATTTTGATTTAGATATTTTGATTTAAATTCTTATGGTGGTATGAAAAGTTCGGTGGATGGAAACAAATTCCTCAGAACGGAAGATTATTTTTTTTATAGAAAAAAATCCTCAGAACTGAGAATTATTTTAATGTATAGAAGTTGATTTCCTCAAAACTGATTTTTTTTCTTCACGAAAATACTGCTTAGACTGAGAAATATTTTTTTTCTATAGAAAGAAATCTTCAGAAATAATGATTTATTTTTTCCCTATATAACTCTCAGATTGTGAATTATTTTTTTTTATGGAAAGAAATCTTCAGAAATAATGATTTATTTATTCCCTATACAATTCTTAGAACTGAGATTGATGTATTATCTACTGATTTTTTGATTTTTTCTATCAAAAATCCTCAGAATTTAGGATTGATTGAAAATTGATTTTTTGTTCATTAGAAAAAATTAGCAGATTGTTTTCTATATTTTTTTCGCTTTGATTTCTTTTATAAATAATTATTTTGTAATTTATTTCAATTAATTATCTGACCTGATTTTTAAATTTAATCACTCCTCAGTTACCGAAGTTAATATTAATGACTAACATCGATTTTGAATAATAATCTACCTTTTTTGGAGTGGGTATATTTTTAAAAATTCTCAATCCACTTAAAATTCGTATAACAAGTTTCTATTTATAAACTTAAATAAATAAACACTCAAATGAAAACCTTCCGAAGCAAACAAACAAATTTGATAGGGAAAAAAACACACACAAAAAAATAATGTTCTTCAAAAGTGCAGCTATTCACGTGAAATAAACAAGTTTTCGTCAACAACGCTCAACAACAACAACAAGAACAGCACCAACGTCCACATGGCACATAGAAACACAAAATAACCCAATTTTATGTGAATAATAAAAATAAACTACTTTGGGGGCCAAAAAAGCCTCCCACCACCTCCACTTATCAGCAATACAAACAACAAGTGTCAGTGGAATATGCCAACAAAGTCGTTCAGAGCAGTGCAGGCAACCGAACGTATAGTGTTGCTTTCGGCGGCGGGATCACGTGTAGTTCACGCGATAGCTAAAACATAGCCACTAACAAACCGAACGTGCAAAGCAATCATGTCGAGTGGGGGCAACCCAGTGTTTGAATATTTTAATGATAAGCATAACACACACACTCACGATCATCTACATACACACAAACATATGTATTTGTTTTGTATAATAAATATTTTTGTCTTCATGTTTATTTAGTTGGGGGTTTTGGTACAAATGAACTTATGATAGCATTTAGATTATTATTTTTTATTTTATTTTATGTTTTTTTTTTTTTGATTCTTTGTGAATTTCAATTGTTTCTGCTGACCAATCAAAATAAATCCAGGAGAAGGTTATTTTTTTTGATTAAAAAAAATTGACCAATCATCAAAAACGCAAAACAAAAGATCTAATGCATCGCCATCCATTATTTAATAAAATTTGTTTTTATTATTTTTATTTATTTTTGGGCAGAAAAAAATTATGGTGGAAAATTAATCTGCACGACATATTACTTATGACGCTATAAAATTCGTAATTCTCCCTATTGCGCATAGAATATACGGCACAGTACGTCAGTGACATTTTAATCAAGAGTCGTAATAACAAAATTTACGTAAATTGTGAAAATTGTAAATTGTTGGGGGGTAAACAAAAACAAAACAATGTCGTATTGTTGTTTACAAAAGTCTTAACGATTTCCCATCATCTCCGTAGCTGATGAATATTTTTCTAACGCAAAGGAAAGACCCCTGTAATTAAATATTTCATCTAGCCTGTAAATGTATTGAGTGAAAAATCTCGCTAAAATTTTCCAAAGAGTTATCTTTTGTCTGCAGGCAGGTCAAGGTCGAAGATGGACTATATCGATCAACGTTTAGGCATAGCTTCCATACAAAGTTGGCCCCAAATTTTCGAATTTTGAGCGTGTTTTGCTACCGAATGTGCTGTAATACGCTGAATTTTTAACCTTTGGTGTTTTATTGGGTATAAAATCCCTTCACTAAAAATTATAAATATAGTTCAACTTTTTTCGGGTAAACCTTTTAAAAAATGGTACTCAAAATTTCTGGTATTTTGGCGGCTTTTGAGCGCATTTTTCGACCGAATTCGCTGTAATTTGGTATTTTAATGTCTTATTGGGTATTAAATTTCCCCACTGAAACATTAATAATATGGTCCTATTTTTCGTATAACATAGAAACCCCCAAAAGGGTAGCACCGCTATATATGACAACTATGTCAAAACATGGAACCAAAATGTATATTCACCATATTTACCATCAATAAAATAATAGATCCTTCGGTTAGAAAACAACATAAAAATAATGATTCGAAACTATTATATGAGAGCTATACCAAAAGATTGACCGATATAGATATTTACTGGTGGCACCCAATTCAAAATATCAAATATTAAATTAAACACCAAAGCAGGGAGGAGCTATTTGGGGATTTTAAACATGGAAAAAATATCAAATTATGAGGATTGATTTTTTTCTATAGAAAGAAAAGAGGATTGATTTTTTATAGATAGATTTGATTTGTCCTTTTTATATAGAATTTTGGAATTTTTTTTTCATTGATTTTTTATAGAAAAAATCCTCAGAACTGAGGATTGATTTTTTTATGGAAAACAAAGCCTCAGAACTGTGGATTGATTTTTTTCTATAGAAAGAAAAGAGGATTGATTTTTTTATAGAAAAAAAAATAGATTTGATTTCAGCTTTTTCTATAGAAAAAATCCTCAGAAAAATTGATTAATTTTTTATATAAAAAAATCTCAGAACTTAGGATTGACTTTTTTCAAATTGAAAAAAATTTTTCCTCAAACTGAGGATTGATTTTTTCCCATGAAAAAATCTTCAGAATGAAGAACTGATTTTTTTCTGTAGAAACATTTCTCAGAAAGTAGAACTGTTATTTTTCTGTAAAAAACATCTTTAAAAAACCTCAAAAGTGTGGATTTATATAGAAAAAAATCCTCAGACGTGAGGATAGATTTTTTTCTATAGAAAAAAAAATCCTCATAAGTGAAAATTGATTTTTTCTATGGAAAGAAATCCTCTCAACAAAGGATTGATTTTAGGAAAAAAGCCTTAGAAATTATGATTTTTTCTATAGAAAAAATCTTCAGAATTGAAAATTTTTTTATATAAAACAATGTTCAAAAAGATGTTATTTTTTCGAAAAAAATCACTATCCATTTGAGTTAAGATTGTTTTGATTTTTTTTTCTATTATAAAAAAATTCAATTCCTGAAATTATTTATTAGAAAGACAATTTTTACATCAATGAAAAAAAATCACAATAGATGCTTGAAAAATTTTTAATATAGAAAAATTCTTCGGAACTGATGTTCAATTTTTCCTATAGAAAAAATCCTCAGAAAGGAGGTTTTTTTAAAGAAAAAAATCCTCATAACTAAATTTTTTTTGTATAGAACAATTCCTCAGAACTAAGGTTTGATTTTGATTGATTTATTCTTTAAAAAAATTAAAATCCATTAGATTATATTAGAATGTTTTTTTTTCTGTGCTAAGTATTAATGCATTTCTTTATAAACAACTCATTCAATTGAATAAATTCTTTTAAAAATTTTCCATTGATCATATAATTGTTTCCTGTACACATCGCCTTTCCGATCTAATTTTAAAATCAATATAGATTAATAAAGCAAACATATAAACATTCTCTAATCAGTTATTCAGTACCCATAGTCAGTACCTTATCTGTCTTGCCTTCTGATGTGCATTCACACTAGTTTTTTATTCTAAGACATTTATGTAACTTCTAAAGTGACAGCATGCATTTCACGTGCATACAATACGTTGTTTTGTATTTGAATGAACTTTTATTGTTATTCAACAACGACAACAAACAAAATTGTTGTTACATTTTTTGAACAACAACAACATCAGCTGTCAATATATATTTATTTTATTTACATTTATTTATTACCCTAGCTATCAGTCACCCCGCCTCCCTTTACATCGGCTACAAAAATTCTGATAATCTTCGTTTTGTAAACAATTTCAACACAATTTCAAAAATACAAAAACCGCTGTAAACAGAAAAACGTGTTGAATGTGTCAACGGCACGTTTTCATTTTCTGTTTGCCCCTTAATAACGAAAAAAAATTGTGGGATGGGCAATAACGATTTAATTAATTTAAAAAAAAATTCCATTGAATATTTCTTAAGTAAAATAATCGGAAATTAAATTGGGTGTGAAATGAAAATAAGATCGCAGCAATAACGAGGGGCAAGGTCCAAAGGGGGAAATTTTCAATTGCAAAAGTTTCATATTTTTTAATAAATCCTCAGTGGAAAGGTTTTTATCTGTAGGGAAACATAAGTTCTCAGATCTGAATATTTTTTCTACAGAAATCAAACCCTTCACCACTTTCGGTACCAATCTGAAATTTATGAAAAATTTAATTTGGATTCAAGCAAAATATTTATATATAAAGAAATTAATCCACAATTTGCTATGCTGCAACACAGTGGTTTCCAAAATTTAGACAGAAAAAAAAACACTGTTTTCAATTCTATTTCTATGTCTCAAAAAAACTCAGTTATGCAGATTTTTTTCTATAAAAAATTAATCCTCGGTTCTTACAATTATTTTCTATAGAAAAAAGTTGATTATTGACTTTTCTGAGGATCTTTTCTTTCTTCTGTGGAATTTTTTCCTACAGAAAAAAATCCCTCCTCAGTTCTGAGGAATTTTTTCCCATAAAAACAACTTAATCCTCAGTTCTGACAAATTTTTTCCCATAGGAAAAAATCAATCCTCAGTTCTAAGGACTTTATTTTCTATAAAAGAAAGTCAATTCTCATTTTAAGTAATTTTTCTGTATAAGAAAAATCAATACTCAGTTTTGATGACTTCTTCCTTAAAGTAAAGATTCAATACTCAGTTCTGAGGACTTTTTTTTTAGAAAAAAATTAATCCACATTTTCGAGATTTTTTTTTCTATAGGAAAAATCAACTACCAGTACTGAGGATTTTTTTCTATAGAAAAAAATCAATCTGCTTTTCTAAGGAATTTTTTTCAATAGAAAAATATCAATCCTCATTTCTGAGAATTTGTTCTATAAATTTTGAATTTTTTTTTCATTTTTAAGTATTTTTTCTATATAAGAAAAATCAATCCTCGGTTCTTGGGTTTTTTTTATAGAGAAAATTGTTTTTATAAAAAAATAAATCTTCAGTTCTGAGGAATTTTTCTTATTTAAAAAAAATCCTCAGATATGAGCATTGAATTTTTTATAACAAAATCAGAACAAATGAATTATTTTTCTTCTATAGAAAAAAATCAGTTCTGAGGAATTTTAATTCTGTAGAAGAAAGCCAATCCATTTTTAAAGATTTTTACTACAGAAGATCCTGTGTGTTTTTATAGAAAAAAATCCAATACTCAGCTCTGAAGAAACTTTTCTATAAAAAAAATTTCAATTTTCTTCAACTGAGTTGGCTTTATCTTGATATTTCTAATTCTTATTTGATCCCAAATCTTAATCTCAAAAATTCGAAATATGTGCCTACATTGACTCCATACGGAGATCACGCAACATTTTCGATATGTTCAAGGTCCTAGCCAAATTTTCCAAACTATGTGTATGTACTCCATTATTCTAAAAAAAAAATTATTTTTTTAGTACCCAAATAACGCATCATATTGCAACCCTTTATTATGCGTTCTTTACAAAAAATGTTTCCTTTGTCTCAGCCAAAATGTCCATATGAAAGGTCTTTGGTCTGTAAGCAAATGCTATCTAAACAAGTGATTATCGGCCATACTTTGTCTGATATCTTTATAGAATCGTTTCACATTTGTTGTATTGTATTTATCAGTTCATTTAACAATGAACTAATTTTAGCAACAACAACACATGTAAATATTTAACGAAACGTCTCATTAACAAGTACGGCCATTAAGGTAAGGTAGTCATTTTGTAAGTGGCTAAGATGAAAAAAAAATAAATAAAATAATAAAATATATAAAATATTCTAATGGACCCCCTTTTTCCTAATAACCTTACTACGTCTCTGTTTACATTACTTACAAGCTCTAAAAACATTTTCTTTTTAAACAATTTTCACTACAACGGAAATTAATTTCATTTGTTTACATCCTCTCTCCATCTCCCTCTTTCTCTCTTTAATTGCATAATTCTATTGTTGTTTTTTTCTTTTACTTTGGCAATTAATTCACTAATAAAATAAAACAATAATATGCAAAATAATTCTTATCTAACAACAATAACAACACTTACCATGGGCCACATTATTTATACAATCCAGATAACAGGAGCCCTGTTCATCGAACATGTACTGGCCCTGACCTCGCACAATTTTCAGAGGGTCCGAACGATAGAATAGTTGACAGGCTTGGCTAAAATTAGAAAAAAAATTATTATCAAATGGAATAATAATTTCGATTTAATTTTTAAGGAAATGGAACATTTAACAAAAAATATATATTATTTTTAAAATCTTTGCTCTTTTCTTTTGACTTTTTTAATAAAAAATTGATTTTATTCCGAGGATTTGTGTGTTTCAGTTTTTAGGATATTATCTGTAATAAAAACCAATTTTTTTTTTTTTTTTTTTTTTGAAATATTTTATAAAAAAATCAGTAATTTCAGATTGTTTTCTATAGAAGAGTTTGTACCCTTCCCCAGAAATAAAATATTCAATCATTTGAGTTGTGTGTGTGGGGGGTATTTGTCTTCCAGAAGAACTTAGCATCTGATCTATATTCAAAGTTGTTTATTTGCGGGTTTTGTGTGTTGCTAATTATGAAATATATACATATGAAAATATAATGAACATAAAAAATATATGTATATAATGTGTATAGAATAACAAATTGTTTTTGTTTAGCATATTTAAAACACGTGTAGAATAAATGATTTTTTTTTTTTTGAAGAATGGAATCTTTTGTTTGACTGCATTTCCTTTGTGTGTGTGTGTGTGCGTACATTAGAGCTTGCTGAAATGAATCTAATCTCGAATTGACAGAGAAATGGTCAAGTTGATGATTACAGCTAGCTATTGCGCACATATTCCCAAATCATTTAATTAGATTTTATTGCACCCGGGGCTCACATTGATACAGTTTATCGTGGTAGTGGATCATTGACCCTCTTAAACCGTAAAATAGAATTATCAAAATTTATATATTTGAAAAAAAAAAATTAAAAAAAATTGCTGAACGGCATTAGCTAGCAATTGATATCGCTTTGCATTTCAAAACAAAAAATATTGATAGTCCCTCGACAACACATTTTGCAAATTCAATTGTACTTCAGAATGGCGGTCATTGTTTTTATTTGGTTAATGATTGTTGCAGATATTTGTTTTTTTATTTAGGGAAATTAAGAAATGAATTTCTAGCTATAATCTTCCGAAAGAAGGTTCGAAAAAATGTGGAACTAGATAATATTTTCACCATAATTAACTTAACACTTATGAAAACTTTTTCTAGTTGACAAAAATTATGGAATATTTACTAAATATTTTATTTAAAAAAGTAGTAGATTTCCGATAACGTTTTTCAGAAACGAAATTTTTTTCTAAAAAAAAATCCTTAGAAATTCTTATTTCTGATTTTTAACACAGGAAACATCTTAGGAACAGAGGATTAATTTTTTACACAAAAATAAAAAAAAAATAAAAATAAAAATAACAAAAAATAATTTTTTTATTTTTATAAAAAAAAGTACCAGCATTATTTTATATAAAAATTCCTTTGAAAAAGTGAATTTTTTTATTTTTATAGAAAATAAAAACTTAACATTATTTTATATATAAAAAATAAAAATCTCAAAAATAATTTTTTTTTAACACAATAAAAATTATTCAGAACCGAGGAGTTGTTTTTATTTAAAATATATCGTCACAACAACTAACATTTTTTTTTATTTTTATATAAAAAAATCAGCATTATATTATATTTAAAAAAAAATCTTTTGAATTTTTTTCATATAGAAAAAATTGTTCATAAGCAAATTTTTTATTTTTTTCTAGAAAAAAATTTGTAGAGGATAAACTTTTTTTACAAAAAGTTATTCAGGATTGACAAAATTTCCTCGGAACAAAGGTATTATTTCTTTTCTACTGAAAAAAAAAATCATCTGAACAGAGGAATCATTACTCAGAACTGAGATCTGATTTTAGACTTTTTCTATAGGAAAATTTCTTCGTACTGAGCATCGACAAAATTTCCTCAGAAGAAAGGAATGATTTTTTTTTTCTACGGAAAAAAATTTTTCAGAACAGAGGAATGATTTTTATGTCTAAAGAAAAAAATTCTTCACAACAGAAGAATGATTTTTTTCCAAAATTTATTTTTTTCTATAGAAAAAAATTCCTCAAAATCTAAATTTGTTTTTATTTTCATTTTTAAGAAAGTTTATTCGGGATTGAATTTTTTGTGCAAAAAATTCCTTTGTATAGGAAAACATTTCTTATAATTGTTTTTTTTCATAAAAAAATCTTCAAAATCGAAGATTGATTTGTTTTGAAAAAATCCATCAAATTTGGCATTTATTTCTATTTAAGTAAAATTTTTCTCCGAAAAATAGAAAAAATTTTCTTCAGAGCTGAAAAAAATCTAACAACTAATTTTTTATGCCTCAAAACTGTAGATGCATTTTTTAATAATGGGAAAAAATCCTCAGAACAGAGGATTGGGTTTCTTTCTTTCAAAAAAAAAAACCTCCTAACTCAGGATTGATGTTCTTTTTCGAGAAAAAAAAAACTAATTTTTCCTACAGAAAAAATTTATTCACAGTTCCGAAGTTTGATTTCTTCTGTAGAAAAATTCTTCAAAATCTAAATTTGATTTTTTTTTATTTTTAAGAAAATTCTCCCAGATAGAACAAAAAATAAATCTTGAAAAGTGAAAACATTTCTCAAAATTCATGATTCATATTTTCCATTAGAAAAAAATCCTCAGAACTAAATATTTCCTTTATAGAAAAAATCCTTCAGAATCTAAATTTGATTTTTTCTATAAAAAAAAATTATATGTATATGTTTATATATTTTAAGGAAAATTCAAATTCAGAATTAATTTTTTTTCTGTAAAAAAAATCCTTTGAAATCATTTGATTTTTTAAGGAAAAATTATTTAAGATTAATTTTTTTTATACAAAAAAAAATACTTTGAAAAGAAAAAAAATTATTGATTTCTTTTTATGAAAAAAATCCTTTGAATTTAGGATGATTTTTTTATAGAAAAAACTTCTTAAAGGATACGACGGGGTTTACTTCTTTTGAAAATTTTCCTCAGAACTGTGAATTAATTTTCTTCTATAGGAAAAAATTCTAACAACTGATTTTTTATGCCTCAAAATTGAAGATGAATTTTTTAATATTGGAAAAAATCCTCAGAACAGAGGATTGGATTTCTTTCTTTCAAAAAAATTCCCCCCTAACTAAAGATTTATGTTTTGTTTTTTGGGAAAGAATGTATCCTCAGTTCCGACAAGTATTTTTTTTAATTGGAAAAAAATTCTGAAAGCTGAGGATAGATTTGTTATTATAAAAAAATCATTAGAGCTAAAGATTGATTTGTTCTATAAATAACAATTTCTTAAAACAACACATTTATTTTTTTCTATTGTAAAAACTTTCTCACAGCTTAGGGTTAATTTTTTCCTATAGAAAAAAAATTGGGTATTGTTTTTTTTTTTATTTTTATTGAAAAAAATTCACAAAAAGAACCAAAAATAAATATTCAGAGTGTTTTGTTCCTAAAAAATTATAATTGATATTTTGATATTTCCTCAGAATTTTTTTAATTTTTTCTATAAAAATAAATTACTCAGAACTAAGTATTGATTTTTTCTATAGAAAAAGAAACTAAGGATTTTTTATCTATAGAAAAATTCTTAAAACTAAGAATTGATTTTTTCTATTGTAAAAAATTTTTCACAGCTGAGAATGGACTTTTTCCTTTAGAAAAAAACAAAGATTGTTTTTTCCTATAGAAAAAAAAACCAAAGATTGTTTTTTTTCCTATAGAAAAAATTGCTCAAATCTGAGGATTGATTTTTTGATTTTTTCTATAGAAAAAAAAATTCTCAGAACTGAGGACTGATCTTTTCTATAAAAAAAAATCCTCAAAACTTAAGATTGGTTTTTTCAATTGGAAAAAATCCTATATTTTATAGAAAAAAATTCTCTAAAAAAATAAGGACTTATTTTTTGAAAAAAAAAACATCAAAAAATTCTTAAAAACTGTAGGTTTTTTATATAAAAACATATTTCTTAGAATTCGAAAAAAAAATTGTTCACAAAAATCTGAATTATTTTTTTTTATAGAAACAATTCTGTTTAACAGAGTTGCCATAGAAAACAACATCGATTCATAGATTTGTTGAAACATTTAAAAATTCACCTTTTCACTTTCGAAAAAATTTAAAATATTTTGTAATTAAATCACTTTTTCAATCATCTTAGTATAAATTGCCCACATTGTTAGTCATCATCATAATATATTTTCACATTAGTTATTAGAAGCAAAAATGGATTCTTGTACTACGCAGGTACAAACAGAGCAGAATAATGGCAAAAAAAGAGGCAACGAACTCGCACGCTTAGTAAAATATATAAATATTCACCTCACCCCTAGTGCGATGAGGGGGGTACTAGCATTACATAGTTTCCTTTTATTCTTACGTGCGTATTTTTCTCTCACACACACACACACAGAATTGGCAAGTGGATGCCAAGGCCTATAACCTTGGCCAAGAACCACAAACAACGGCAACAATAATCAAAATAAAGGGAAACTGTAAATGACCTTGATGGTGGATGGATGAATGGATCCTTTGACATTGGCCATGGACGAATGAATGCATAGAATGGGTGGGTTAGAATTGTTCTTCTTTTTTTACATTTATTTATAGAATTTTATTTTAATTTATTTTTTTTCTTATACAAACAAAATAATTATTTTCGTTTTCTACAAATTTAAAAACATACAAGTGGTTGCTAGTGGAGGCTCTGCAGTACTACTTACCCAATATGTTTATTTCTTAGTTTAATGGTTTCCGATTTGCACAGCTTTTCACCGCAGGCCGATTCTAATTGTTCACGTGGGAAAGGCATTTTGTGATTGTTGTTTTCGGAAATTATTTTTATACGTAAAAAATTTAAATATTTATTTTTTTTATAAAATTCAAAATATTTTTTATGGAATGCACTTGTTTGTCTTTTTGTTTTGTATTCAAAATAAAATGGAACTGTTATTTGCGCGTTTTATATTCTATTTTCTTCTTGGGAAAATCACAACGGAAAAGTGCTCTTACGAGCGACGTTGGTTTACGTTTGAGAATCGTCAGGCAAATGACAATTTTAGCGGATGCGTTATTGCTTTTTATAATGCACACTCTCTACACAAAATGTAGTCACCAACAAACAAACACAGCCACACACACATCCATTATACAATACGAACACAGCCGACTAGACGTTAAAACAAAATAAAAGCGTTTAACGGCATATCGCTAGCTAACAAATATTGTTCTGTCCTCCTCTGTCCGAACAAACCCAACCGCTTGTGTTGCTGCTGCTGCTTCGGAGTATCATTGAGATTGGGGGTTTTCACACATGCACGCCAGCGTCTCTCTCTCAGTGTAACTTCTCCCATATCCCCCCTGGCCATAGGGGTATCCACTTCATTTACTGATAAGATTGATAATAATAATAGGTTTTTTAAAAACACTGGCTAACACAAACACTATATGGAATATAGGGCATGAGGGGAAAATTTGGGAAATTTATTTTAACAAATGAGTGCTATTCTGTAAGGTCGTTTTCCGAACGATGAGACTTAAAATGACCTAAGTGAAAAATATAACAAATATAACAAATTCGCCGAGAACAATAGATACCAAAGAACTGTGGTTTGATTAAAAAAAAATATCTTCAGAACAGAGGTTTGTATTTTTTTTTTTTTTTTTGAAAAAACTCCCTGGACTGATATTTGAAATTTTTTCAATAAAAACCAGTAAGGAATGTAGTAATGTTGACTGGGCCGGTTGTATGATACCCTTCACCACTTTGGGTATATTCTACATATGTATCCTTACAGTCGCCTTTTCGAAATTACATTGACATGACATTGAACGAACTTAATCTAAATCCCGATCTAACCCAATTTTCTCGAAACTTAACACACGTGCTAAAGTAGGCACAGATTTCCATCTCAAAGGCACGATAATCCCCATGAACATGCAGAACAACACGTTTGATTTTTTTTCTATAGAAAAAAACACCTCATGAGGTTTGAATTTTTTTCTATAGATAAAAAACACCTCAGAACTGAGGTTTGAAATTTTTTCTATAGATAAAAAACACCTCAGAACTGAGGTTTATTTGTAGAAAAAATCATTAGACCTTAGAACTGATGTTTGATTCTTTTTCTATAAAAAATCATAAAAACTATAGATGCATTTTTGTCTATAGAAAACAAATTCTCTGAATTGAGGTTTTTTGAGGATTTTTTTCTATGATAAAGCCTTTAGGACTGAGGTTAGACTTTTTTATAGAAAAAAAATTTTTATAGAAAAAAAAGATCTCAGGTCTGAATTTTTTATCAGAACTGAGGACTCAGAACTTAATATATTAAAAAAATAAAGTAGCATTTCTCAAAACTGGGGATTGCTTTTTCCTATAGGAACAAATTTCATCAGGACAGATAATTTATCTTTTTGTATAAAGTTCAGAGGATTTTTTCTGTAGAAAACACAATTTTTTCTAGAGAAAAAAGTACTAAGAATTGAGGATTTTTTTGAAAACAATATAGAAAAATTCCTCTGATCTGAGTATTGATTGTTTTTATAAAAAGCCAGTAAGGAAAGTAGTAAAGACGGACTGGGCCGACTATATAATACCCTTCACCACTTTGAGTATATTGTACATATGTGTCCTAACAGACGTCGCCTTTTCGAAGGAACATTGACATGAAATTGAAAGAACTTTATATTAATTTCAATACTTTGTGTCAATCAGCCTAGCTATGGGTCTTTAATGCATCATATATTTACTTCAAATCAGACGAAATTATATATAGGAGCTTTATGTAGATTTGAATAAATTTCAAGAAATCCTGACACACGTAAGGTTATAGTTACTTCATTGTACAAAATTGTGTGCCAATCGGCCAAATCGAAAACATATATAGGGGATTTGGTGCTCCATTAAAATAAAATCGGACGAAAATATATATGGGAGCTATATCTAAATCTGAACCTTTTTTCGCGAAAGTTAACACACATCATTCTAGATTTAATTCAGTACGCTGTGCCAAATTTCGTGCAAAACGAGAGATATATAGGGACTTTTGTGCACCATTTACCTTAAATCGGACGAAAATATATATGAGAGCTATATCTGAACTGATATTTCTCAATTTCAATAGGTTTCGTCCTTTGGCCAAATAAGTGACCTATGCCAAATTTCATCCAATTGGGATCATAAATGCGACGTGTACTTTGTTTATAATTTAACATGGACAGACGGACGGACGGATGCCTAAATCGACTTAGAAAGTGATTCTATGCATATTCTCAAAAGGAACCACGTGTCTATCTCGTTTTCTTTTGCCTGTTGCTAACATATGCACAAAAACATAATACCCTGTACCACAGTGTGGTGAAGGGTTTAAAAATCTCAGAACAAAAAAATAAACAAATATTTTAATTTTTTGTTCTAGAATATAATCTGAAATGAGTATTGGATCTTTTCTATAGAAAAAAATTCTGAAAATTGTTGATTGATTTTTTCTATAGACAAAAAGAATGGCGTTTCTGAGAATTTTCAGTTTGCTCAACTTCAGTTCTCCTTCGTTCGTCCATCAAGACTCTCTAGCTTCTGCTCATCTATAAATCGTAGACCACCAGTCTTCAGTTCCTCAATTATGGCCCCATAAGCTTCTCCATAACGACACCTGTTATTTAGCCTATGAAAACTTCTGCCTTTACATCGACTATTGAAGACTCCCTGCCTTCAGTTCCTCTATAAAGATACACTGGCTTCAGCTCGTCTATAAACACTGACTGTCGACAGCTCTGTAAATACTCTCTGATCTAAATTCGTATAAAATGGCTCCCTTCCTGATTTCGGCTCGTCTAAAAAGACCCACTTCCCTCAGCTTTGAGCTCATTTAGTTCGTCGAAAAATACCATTTCCCTTAAAGGCTCCCATCCTTCACCTCATATGAAAGTAAAACAGCTGTGCCCAAAATAGGTCCCATGGGCTGTCGGTGTGTGTCAAATTTCTCACTAACACAATTATAAAAGAGAAACAAAATTTATTTTATTTCAAATTTCAAATTTTACATTCATTCTGCTTTGAGAAGTCAATGAGGAAGGTTCTGTTGTCGATTTTTCTTTGTGAATTTTTGTGCGTACACTGAACGAAATGAATGGGGATATGAAATATGATTTTTTTTTGCCGAAAATTATTTCGGAAAATGGAATGTTTGGTTTGTCAGCGCACTATGTCGCGATCAAAATTGTATTATCTTAAGAGACATTTTGTGTCTTTTCCGGATATAACAATAATTTGTCTAACAAGGAAAGGAATTCGCTAGATTTAGACCTACTAAAACCTTTTTATGAAAGGTATACTTTAGGTTATGAGGAGGAGAGATATATTGAAAGCTCCAATATCAAATTACTCCAAATAAAAGCTTCCTATGCTGCGGCATTGGCAAAACAATGCCGCCCATTTGTTGACGGCATGTTTTTCAAAGAACTCTGTCTGGAAGTTTTGCATATATTTGGAGAAAAAGCTCAGGAGTGTTCTAATTTATTAAATGACATTCCATTGTCGCGAAATACCGTCAGTCGTAGGACAGAATCTATCAGTGACTTCATCCATACAAATATTAAAAATATAATTTTGAAGTGCAAATATTTTTCTATATGTATAGATGAGACAACCGATATTGGCGACATTTCCCAACTCTTGATATGCGTTAGTGCGGTAGACGAAGATCTGGAATGTTCTGGTGTGATGCCAAATGTCCGAACCTTGACACGGTTGAATTTAATTCGTAGATGCAATTTCGCAACAATAGTCGACATAAATACAACTTATCAAGTAAAGACATTTGTAAGCCACATTTCCCAATATGCCTGATGAGCCGCTTAACCAACGGCGAAACACGTCGCATAGTGGTGGGAATGTAGTATCTCTCTGGCTTTCCTTTTCATTGCAACTCCGATCATGTAGCTCATCTCGAAAGAGAAATTAATAAAAAAAAAGAAGATCTTCTGTGCCACGAAGAAATACTGAGATTAGTATCCCTACACGGCCATGTACGGGGAATTGATGTTTATAATGCTGTTTATGAGGAAGTGCTCGACTTTGCTGATAAATCTAAGTTTGTTTCCGTTTGTTCTGATGGGGCGCATGTAATTCCTTTGCCTGTAATGGTATCCAAATTGATGTTGGTCTATTAACGATTACACGGTCCATTATATTGAATTAAATGCATTTTGTCAATATTTTTTACTTCTTTTTTTAATTTCTTCTCAAATATTTATATTCATTCTTGTTAAAGAGCAATTCCAATAATTGCATTCATGTTAATGAATTTGAAGGTTTATTGGATAAAAGAATCAAACAGAAAAAAATAAAACAATATTTCTCACAGTTTTCTTTGAAATGTGTGTATTTCGAAACAATCACAAACACAAAACTTGAATGTATTAGTGTGGACAGCCCTGAAGTAAAACCAAAAGTGTTTTGAAGTTGTTTTTTGACTTTTTATTTAGATTTTTTTGTTTGTTTTTTAAAGATTTCTTTATATTTTATTTCATTTTATTTTTAGGTTTTTTTATATAAGTATATATTTTTATGTTATTTTCATATTATATTTATTGTTATTTTTATTATTTTCTTTAATATGTATGTAGATTAAGTTTTATTAATATAATTCTGTGTATTTATAAGTTTTTTTTTCTTCTTGTATAATTATTTTATATATATAATATACGTATTTTTTATATAATTGTTGTGTGTGTGTGTGAGAGAGTTTTGGTGTGTGTGTATATATAATATAAATACAATTATGATAAAATTAAATATAAATAATATATATTTTTATTTATTTTGAAAATAAAAA